TCACAAATGTTATTAAATCAAAGACAACAGTTTTATAGAACCTTATTTACTTGATTAGTAGTCTTAGTATCTCAGAGTTTTTTTATGGTCAAATTAAAAGTCATATTTTTATGTCTCATTATACAAAAACTTTGGTTTATGCACAAGTTTTAGTATTATAAATCACACACTGGTTCCAATCGTAGGTCTTAACCAACTTTTGCAAAACAAATACAGATCATAGTACATGTACATAAAAACTGTCATAGATTAATGTTAATGGTAGAAGCACGTTGGTTTGAAACTATAATAAACATTCACAGTTACCGGTGATTAGATCACGGGGGTAAAAAAAAAGTCAAATTAATTGCATTTGATTTTTTTTGTTTCCTATTGTTTAATCCTCTCAACTTGCAGCAATAGTTGTGTTCTCGCTACAAGATCCCGGTGCATGCCACATAATTTCAATCCTATATGTTTGCATACATTGTATTTGTGTTCATTCATGTTCACATTTATTAGGATTCTCTTGACATATACCAAAATCACACCTTCATTTGATTGTCTATTAATTAATTGACCTAAACATGGCAGCTGATATACAAGTTCGAAACACGTGCCTGATGCCAGAGAAGTTACTTAATACTTCTGCATGAGACAACATTTTTTTTTTGAAGAATTATAAATGGCTGTGTCCATCTTTGCCATTTGCTCTTAAGTTCATGACCAAGAACATGATTTCAGCATTAGCACGTTCCAAGTTTGGCTAATTCGAACTGGTCAGACACATTTTAGCACGTGTTAGCATATTTTTCCTTTCTTCTCAAGGGTGATCACTGATGTTTTCTTTCAGCCAACAATGCCATGCATAAACTGCAAGTTTTTCCACAGGGTTTAGTCCTTGTTTAAGGCCTTCCCTGTAAATGTGTCATTACATTAGGGCTTAAACTTTACGGGCACATAAAAGGCAATTGCCTTGATGCCCAATGAGTTTGCCTTGATACATATTCCCTATTCTATTTCTAAAATGCCTAAGCAATTCCATCAATTTTGCCCCTAGAAATTGGAATGTCAATAAATGCGATTTGTCTTTTCAAGAAAATATTAATAGGAACATAATTTTTCTTTTGCATTAAATTTTAAAATCATGTAGAACAGTTGTCTCATTTCCATGAAAAGTTTATTTTTATTTTGCTTCTCATTAAACGGGGGTTAAAATAGAAAATTTCACCAACATGCACAGCGAGCAAGTTGTAAGGAGAATTACTTGCATCAAGGTCAGAATTGAGAGTGGCACAAAAACACAGAGGATCCAGTGATGACTTTAATGTGTTAATTTATTTTAATCTTAGTCAGAACTGCAGTAAACTGCCCTAACCCAGGTACCATTAGATAAGATCAGAAAATACACACTTCCTGGTCAGCCATGATTATACAGAGTTGTAATCATCAAGTTAGCTATTGAAGTAATGTTCAACTTGGCAGTGATCACATATTTTCATCTCCATCAACAGATTACACTTGAATGTTCCAACTACTCCATGTCTTTAATCCCAAACTCTTATTTGTGTGTTTAGTACAAAATACAGGGAAATGTTATTAAATACTATCACAGAAACACTAAAAATAGTAATTGTTTATATACATTATAACAGGCTGGAAACGTGACTTTAAAAAACCCACATTTTTATCACCAGCCAATCAAAATATTCACTGCTATTTATATGAACATTCACCTTGTTTTGAATCGAACATTTGTCAATCTCGGGAAATATTGTAACTGTTCCCTCAATCTCAAGGTTGAACGGAGAAAGAAACGTGAAACATGTCGCACGTGAATCACGCGACGGGTCATCGTACTCGGTACCCACACTAGGGTTGAATTCGGTGGTGGCAGAGGTGAGTGTGACGCAGTCGTTTCAATGTTGGCATTAGTAACCCACGTTACAGATAGTAATAATTTTGAAATAAAAGATGTTGATGTCGAACTACAAAAGGAAAATCAATCAGCTTTCTCCGTAAATAATTGGATACGTTACTCATCGCCACAGAACAAAGCGGACATTTGTTCGGACACGGATATGTGTTCAGAAAATGCAGTTTTGTTGATCACAGTATTGAACGGATTGTAATTATGTCGACTAAAGTTGATCACTATCTATCCCCTACACCAACTTTCAGCCTTCGATGTCTATAAACGCAATAAAGCGTTGACATTTATAAAATGGTACTTACTGTGATATTGCAATGAATGAGAAATTCTTCGCCATTTGAGCCGATGAACTTGAAAGTCAGTTCGTCTACAGTAGCTGACACTACCCGAAAACGACTGTCATCTTCATTGAATGCAGCTTCGAGTAGCTTAAGCTCTTGCTTGAGAGAATAGAAGCACGCCATTTTCACATTTTAACCACAAAAATACAAAATATTCCCTAAAATAGTACCTCTGTTTTCTCCTGTGCAAACTTTTATTTTCCAAAATGGCGGCCTTTGCCGGATTGCGCATGCCCCTTTAATATACCTCACTCAACAGCACTTATTTTAAAGAACAAATTAACATTTCTGTCTCTGAAAAAAAAAAAATCCATCACTTTTTATTCATTACATATGAATAACAATAAGTGATAGATTGATATGTATAATACGTGGTGCGTGTAAATATGATAAAAATAGAGACAAATTTGCACTTGTACAAATTTTTGCGTGAGGTTAAACCAGCTCATTGACCACACGAGGGCGCCACACTTAAAAATAATTTAAAAACCACGATTTGCGATGTTGCAGATTCACTTGTCAATTTCCATCGCTACAAGGCGGCACGTTGCTGGGTTCGCGATGTCAGAGACGTGGCTTGGACCAGTAATCAATGATAGTTGATTGTATCGCCGCGTTCGACTTGTCATAGGTGACATGGCTTCCGAAAACACTGAGTCGACGCCTGACATTCGTAAATTCTTGCGGAAAAAAGTAACAACGAGAAACCGTCTGCTTCTGTGCGGATATTCAATATTCGCTGGCGCATTGGCAGTGGCATACATCAGTAAATCACTAGCGAGCTCAGGGGAACCAAACGAGCTTCTTGATCGTCTTAGGAAGAGATCTACAGGTAAGCTAAACTAAAGCAAATATGTGAAAACAATGTACGTTTTCGTTCACTAATTAATTTGTCACAACTTTTGACAGCGATTCAGAAATTCAGTGTTATAAAATTGATAAACATGTCCTTACATACGACATCAGGGATAAACGTAAACCAAAATCTCAACTAAATCAAAACCTACAGTCAATTCGATTTTAGCACAATTCATCATGACATGCGAGCACGCTCCATTATCGTATAAGAAAGTCCAGTGCATGATCCGCTGAAACCTATATGTGAATACCCGCTACGAAATCGCCATATGAGTGGACCGACAATATGTTAGTAGTATACCGAGAGCGTAGGCATGAACCTTGTATTTTCCCGCAACGATGATTAAACGCTTTCAAATTAGAGCCATCCTTATTAAATTTTAAATAAAAAAAAAATTAAAATTCATGATAAAGTTGGAAAAAAATACAAGTCATGTTGCCATGACTTTGCCCTGATAAATATTGTTCAGGTTTAGGCACCTACCAGCATATCCACTCTCGGTTAACAACCCTTTTCATCGGTCAGCTCATGTCAATATGGGGTTTCCATGTTAAAAATAGAGATGTTCACCTCATTGAGTGTGTTGCATGCTATGTGTATACTAGCTCAAAGATCAACCAGCAATGTATGTAGCTGTCATAGCGGGATGATCATCTGCAGACAGTGCATGGTACAAACTTTCATACTTTGTCAGGTAATTAAATTTTTTTTTTAATTTAATAGTTTTGGAATCTTTGTTATAGGAGTCATAGGAAGTTTTATTTGTGAAGTTAGAAATGTTCAAAGGTGCAAATCAACAAATGCAATCAAGGATATGCATTGTAATAAGGGGCTGGTGGTAATTAAAATATGTGCTTAGCAAACCTTATCTCTTCATTTTAACTTTCAACTCCCCATAAAGAATCTTTGCAATTACTAAAAAATAAAAATTATGAAACATTAAGCTTTATCTTGTCAGGCACAACATTGTGGTATTTGCACACTGTAATTGAAATTATTTTTGATCACTTTGTTCCCTGAACGAAGAGATTACATTTTGATGTATGTTTTTTTTTTAAATCGTCGTGGTCTCCAAACACTCAATGAGTATGAAAGAACTGTAGCAAAAAAAAAAACCCGAGACAGACACTAACAATTTCATGAAAAGATTTACGCAAATATGTTTTTGTTGCAATTTCTTGTGATTGCTTCCTTCATTGCATGTCATCTTTGCATAACCCTTATCTGTTGTCAATCTCTGTGCAGAGTATTTCCCATGATGCATTATTCCCCTTGCACCACTGCAACTTCAAATTTCATCCCAAATATGGATTATTTAATACTAGTATGAGTATCATTGTTGAGATCATCAATACCGTATTTGCTTTATTATTAACATGTATACTTAAGTAAATGATATAGATGCATTTATAGCCATGTCAGTCATATTTTAATGATCTAGTAATTTTTGTTTAAGTGTGCACTTCTAATAGATCAAGTACAGTGTATCTTTTCATGACAAATAAGATTTTT